ATCAGTATTCAACATTTCATGTTTTAAATATCAAAACATTATTTATGCATTTGTAACTGCAGGGTAAAGCATCCCATGTCCCTCTAGATGAATTTTATTGATACTGATTTAATTTGTTTAGTAACAGCCTAAATGTATTATTATTATTATAATTGACTGATTAAATGTAAGAATTTGACTCAAAAGATCATGTACACTTTTAGAAAAAATGGCTTTATAAAGGAAAGAATGCCCATAAAAGTTCAAAATCAATTTAAAATTATTGGAAAAGATTCATTTCTATCACTGCTGTGAACTGACCACACAGAATATGAAGAATATCAAAAACTTTAGGAGTCAGTTGTCCACGGTAGTCCTTAAGATATCAGCACAATAACACACTCAGCAAAATATCGTCTAATTATGTTTATCGATAAAATCATATTTTTTGTCAATATCGCACACCACTAGTACTGACAAAATGATTTGCAATGGTTGCTTTGTCACGCCCAGTGCAGACGGCCTCAAACTGTTGATGTATTTCTGTCTTTTTTTTGGCTAGTAGGAGTTATGAATGGCCGGTAACTTAAAAATTTAGTAGCCAAATTGGCTGGTGAGTGAAAAAGTTAATTTCAATCCCTGATTGTAACCACTCTAAGTTCTTCTGCCTTGGGAAAGCTAGCATGTCTCCGACATAGTGATAACACTCGTTGCCTTTTTTTTGTAGTGCAGCTCAACCAGGTCTCATCCCATTCGTTGATATTTGTGATATCACAAATCCCCCCAAAAAAGCGTCGTAGTCCAAACGAGTCGTTTGTTGTAGTTTTTGAAAAGTGATTTCTGTTAAATAAAATATCTTCTTTTGAACTGGACTTTGAGCTTTGTAACTGAGCAGATCTTTTTTATGCTCAAACAGCAACTTTACAGACTAACTAAAGCTGAAAAAGTGAAAAATTTGAGTAATTGGCATGTAAAATGGACCTTGCGCTCTCCCCAGATGTTTTATGTCCCATTTACACATGGCTGACAGCAGGTGTGCTTTTTTTCATTTCAACTATCATTATTACTCACAATATGGCCATTTGCACAAATAAAAAAAAATAAAGGGATAGTTTACCCAAAAAATTAAAATTCTGTCATTAATGACTCACCCTCGTGTTGTTCCAAACTCCTAAGACCTTCGTTCGTCTTTGGAACACAAATTAAGATATTTTTGGATGAAATCCGAGAGCTTTCTGACCCTCCATAGACAGCAAGGGTACTACCATGGTCAAGGCCCAGAAACGTACCCAGAACATCGACAAAAGAGCCCATGTGACATCAGTGGTTTAACCGTAGTTTTATGAAGCTATAAGAATACTTTTTGTGTGCAAAAAAATTAAATAATGACTTTATTCAACAATTCTTCTCCTCCGCGTCACCCCTAGCACCATTTCGGAGAGTTTCACGATGCATGCACTGTTTACGTGCAGATTAAATCACACACATGCATCCTGGTATTCTCCAAAATGGCCTTAGGGTGACGCGGAGGAGAAGAATTGTTGAATAAAGTAGTTATTTTAGGTTTTTTTTGCACACAAAAAGTATTCTCGTAGCTTCATAAAATTACGGTTGAACCACTGACATCAGATGGACTATTTTGTTGATGTTCTTTGGTATATTTTTGGATCTAGAATGTGGTAAGACCCTTTCTGTCAAATGGAGGGTCAGAGAGCTCTTAGCAGTCTTACGAGTTTGGAATAACAAGAGAGTGAGTAATTAATGACATAATTTTCATTTCTGAGTGAACTATTCCTTTAAGTCAGAGCCACCTCTGAATAGTTCATTCTGCTCTTCAATGAAGCCCAATGTTTAAACCCAGAGCCTCATTGCAGAGAATCTTCATAATCAGTGTGTCTGGATACGGCTACGGCGTTGTGCTCAAGTTAAATCAAGTGGAATCAGGAGGTAGAGGAGGAATCTCTAAGGGGATAACTACTCTCTGAATCAGAGTAAAGATGAGGTCTTACATGAATATGTGTGAAAATGCTGAAGAAACTGTTCTGTGCCTTGAGATCATGAGGGACTATCTGTTTAGCTACTACAAACTTCACAGTGGTGGTCAAAATAAAAATGGACAGGCAGATAACCTGCAGTGTAAGTCCCCAAAGGTGTCCTTTATAAATAGGCAGGGCAGTAGTGTTACGGCAATGGTTTATTGTTGAGGGAGGAAAAGTCAACAGCAAAGACATTTGATTGCTCCGCACCAGTCTCAAACCTAAATTAAACCCTTTTGCTCTAATTTGCCTATAATAGAATTAACTTTAATTAGCAAGTAACTTGAAAAATAAAAGGATTCCAACATAACCTCAGTGACGCCGAAACCCCCCTCCAGACTTTAACATTAGATAAAACACATAATCGTGTGTACTCATAAATACGCTTCCATTATCTCAGGCTTTTTTGACAATGAGAAGAATTAAACGGATTTGGAGGATATAAATAACCAAAGCGTTTCTCTTGGCATAATTAGCTCTGATCCCTTTTTTCCTTCCCAACAATTAGGTATATCTTCTCTTTCCCCCCCAAGCAAAAGCCTCTATGCCAGCGGAGCGAAGTGAATCAAACACAGCAGTTCACGTGTCATTTTTCTAAATAAGGGTGAAATATAATTGAGTCAATGAGCAGTTAGTTAACCTACTTATTCAATTCGCCTCTGCTTGAGCTGCAGAAACTACACAGCACACTGGCAGTAACATCAAGACATCAAACAACAGATCAATGCTAATGATCTCGTGACACGTTTATCATATTTTGACCCACTTCTCTTGCATTTAAACTATATGTACCTGTGATATGGAAAACAGAGTGAGTCACATTGAGAAGAATCAATATTGAATGCTTAGTGAGCATTTGTCTTGAAGACCCTGAAAAAACGCACCCTTATCATCCTAAGCCTTTTTCAGATCCTATATCAAATGAGTTCATTAACTCTCCACGTACACGGCCCACGGCTTTCGTGCAACAAACTGGGTGAGGAGACTAATTTTAATCAATACCTTCTCACAGAATCACATGATTTGATCCACATATGCATACGGCATTTTTATGACAAAACCACTAATCTACAGTTCAAATGCCTTCACATATGATGTGCTTTGACAGTCTAGCTCAATCTGCGGACCTTTAGCATCCACCCCAGACTATAACCAGTGAGTAGCTCATCCCTGTCCAGGACATTCATTAACTTAAGTTGCTCCAAGGTTCAGAGGTCCCTGATCATCCCCCAAAGTGCTTAGATTCGTAACTGCTCCAGAGCTCCGTGACAAAACTTCCAAGTGCTGTCAAGTTGTCACAGCTGCAAAGGTCTCATGAGATGAAGCCAGGCAGATGGGTTGATTTAGTACAGGTGCTCAAGATGACCCACTATAGTCATCTTAAACAATTATAACAGGGGCAGGATATCTTGTCATGCAGGAAGTACCCACCAGTATGTGCTTCCAACATATCCTTTGAGGCATAACCCATACCCCTAACATCAAAAGCATGCTTACGATGTGAGTAGATCATCTTGAAAGGTAAGTCCATGTGCACTGTGACAGCTTCCAATGGATATTTGCATACTGTATCCAGCTTTTAACTTACAGGACTCAAGAAAACCACGCAATTCATGCAATGCATTAAAGACGCATCCGCGTTCTGCTTACCTTGAGTTTAAGTTAGCAGGTCAGACTCGCATTCCCGTCCTGATAATAGCTATTCAATATTCCTCCGGGCCGAGGGTTCGTTGCGCGTGCGGACGGTCCGTTACTCGCCGCTGTTTGAGATCCTGACAGCAGCGCTCAGGATTCCCTCTGTCCCAGCCTCGCGTTTCTATTGGTCCGCGGATCTCCCCGCAGCACCTCACTGGGAGGAGGGGCAGAGATATGCGCTCGGACACGAGACAGCATGCAAATACATCCGAAGAACGAATCGGCTTCTTAATGAAGGAATATGCTGCTGTTACTGTGGTTCAGGAAGGGATAAAAGTGAAGGAATAAAATCAACGCGTGCGATACGATGTCAGGAGTGGTGCGGGGATCCATGGAGCAACGGATCTCCAGTGCTTTGAAACAAAGGAGCACTGCTCTGCTGCTAATTGTTTTTTCCCCTACAGTATATTTCCTGGTCAAATTGACATTAAGCAGAAATTACTTAGCTGAAATGGATGCTAGTTATAGGCCTATTACTGAAAAGTATAGGCCCACTAGACGGATACCTTCTGTAATATAGGATCTACATAATGTGTTGATTACGTCAGCGAGACTAATTTAAAGCATCGACAGGAAAAAGTAAATGATTAATAAAGTAATGGTCGACAAAATATGAGATTTAAGGAAGCAGTAGATAGTGAGTGGACTAAAATGATATTCACCTGTGGTGACGCATCAGCAGTTTAAAAACTGACAGGTTTTTTTGCAAGATTTAACAGCTGTTTCATACAATGCAATGCCCCATTACGCAATTTTCTGTGGAATCAATAAGGTTAGGTAATGGTCATGTCAAAACAAATTACTAATAAATAAATAGACAATTTTAGCGCTATTATGGTGAGCCGTTGTTATTTCTGCAAGGCAGATACACGTCAATTACAAAACTGACTATTAATATTACAAAAGGAACTAAAAGCTACAGCAAATTAAAAAGAAACATTTATTCATGCCGAAGTGCGTGTTTAGAACATAAGCGTCCACCTAGTAGGCTACTGTGGAAATCACGTTGGTATATGTATTTATTTTAAAATATATTAAATGTAATGTTGACATAATCATTGGGAATGTTTTACAGTGGATGTTACAAGTTGTTTTGTGATAAGAACATCACAATAATCCACAAGTAATCCACATGACTTCAGTCTATCAATTCAACGTCTTGTGAAGTGAGAAGCTGCATGTTTGTAAGAAACAAATTAGGGTATTTTGCTGTCATTTCTATCAAAAATACCATTCCATAATCCATAATATCGCTTACTCCTACTTGTTTTGCTTTGATCAGCTGTTTGAACTTTGATACTGATGGCACCCATTCACTGCAGAGGATCCATTGGTGAGCAAATAATGTAATGCTAAATTTCTCCAGATCTGCTCAGATGAAGAAACAAACTCACATAGATGGCCTGAGGATAAGTACATTTTCAGCAAATTTTCATCTTTGGGTGAACTGTTCCTTTAAGTTTAACACTTTTTTAAAAAGCATGCAAAATGATTGGTTTATTTCTATTTATTTATTTATTTTTCACACTCTAGTCATTCATTAAAACACAGAAAACTAATCACTGGACTTAATTTTATGCTTTCAGCCTTGCGGTTCCATAGTGTCACTAACACATTGTCACAATCCATTTAATATTCCAAAAAAAAAATGATATCACGCTTTTGGGGTTTCTTTTTTATCTGGCTCAGGCAACGTTTTGGCAGGCACGAGTGTTATTTTCACAGCCTCTGGTGTCAGCTCAGACTCTGTGCAAATGAATGCAGCGTAACTCTGCAGACTTTGCACACACATTAGTAAGCAGGCCTGCGGGAATATGACTTCTTCAAAAACTGGATTAAAAACATGCATGGCTCTCCGAGTCAAAGTCTAGAGTAATAAACTGCTACATTTCCATGGGAACAATTACACAAAGGCTCAAAGGAGGATAGTATAGGTGTGAAGTCCTGTTTCTGCTGCATGGGATGATTTAATTATGTTCAGCACCTTGGTCAGCGACTGCAAGAACGATTACTGTGCAACTGTGTTGCAGCAGATCTCAGATCAGCTGAAGCGCTCTAAGTAAAGAGCAAGTCCCATTGACATACACTGATAAAACACTGCAAATCTAACAGCCAACAGTGATGTCATTGTAACATTTGCATACAGAATATTGATTGGTCAGTGGCATGGTTTTGAACCACTAAGCCTTATTTATTTGATACAGTAAAACATCAATAATGTGAAATAATACTACAATTTAAAATAACTATTTTCTATTTTATTATGTAATATTTTCCTGTAATTGCAAAGCTGAATTTTCAGCAGCCATTACTTCCGTGTCACATGGTCCTTCAGAAATCATTCTAATATGCTGATTTGCTGCTCTAGCTGCTCAATTTTCTTATTATCATCAATATTGAAAACAGCTGCTTATTTATTTATTTATTCATTTTTGTGGAAAACGTGACAATTTTTAAAAGGATACTTAAATGAATAGAAAGGTTTTTAACAAATGAGAGAAAAAATGTAAAAGTATTTACTGTCACTTTTGATCTATTTAATATAGACCCTGGCTTTTATGAATATTGATATTACATCATGATAAAAAATTATATAAAATGATTATTATATTATATTTTAGTACCAATATATATATATATATATATATATATATATAT